ACCCGCGCCCAGCGTGAGTTTTAAGCCACCGGGTCCGGGACGTGAACCGTGGTCGACTACGTGGGAGTCCAGCGACATAGCCATTACGCTAACTGCTGGTTCCTGGTGAACATGGGTTTTTAAAGTTTATTTCATGAGGGACCAGCAGGTGGCATGGTGATTAAGGTGCTGGACACTCCCACATAGCTGACCACGGTTCAAGTCCTGGACCTGGTAGCTTGCTTTCTCACTTCCCCCCTTTCTCTCTCCGTCTCTGTGTCTCCCTCTGTCAAATTAAAAATAAATGAATGAATGAATAAATAAAATTTTTTAAAAAGTTTATTTCATGAGAAAGAGCACATGGGGCCAGGCTCCCTCAGTAGGGTCTCATGCCGTGACCCACTCCAGCCCTCTGTGTCAGCGTGGGTCACGGCACTGCGGAGCGCTGGGCCCCGGGCCGCCGTGCTGGGACGCAAGCGTATTCTGAGCCATCCGTGTGCCGGGCGGGGGTGGGGGTGGCGAACACTCCGGGCTGCTGGGCCACGGGAAGGCCCTCGCGGCAGAGGGAACCTTCCCTCAGTAGGGTCTCATGCCGTGACCCACTCCAGCCCTCTGTGTCAGCGTGGGTCACGGCACTGCGGAGCGCTGGGCCCCGGGCCGCCGTGCTGGGACGCAAGCGTATTCTGGGCCATCCGTGTGCCGGGGGGGGGTGGGGGTGGCGAACACTCCGGGCTGCTGGGCCACGGGAAGGCCCTCGCGGCAGAGGGAACCTGCGGCCGTGTCCCCGGGCCGTGTGTCCACCTAGGAGGGCCGGCCCCGGAGAAGAGGAAGGGGTAGCTCGGGCTCCTGGCCCGCCGAGATGCTGCCGTGGGAAGCGCATCTTTAAATAGCCTCTCGCTTTCCACTAAAAATAGCGAAGTTCTGCTGCGGTGGAGGTGGTTGCCGGGGCGGCGGGGCTGGCTCCTGGCCAAGGCAGGCGTGGGCACACGTGGCCGGCGTGCACTGGGCGGTGGGCCCCGCTCACCACGCCAGCGGCCACTTTCACCTTGTCCCCACGGCCAGGGGTGCTGTAGAAGGTCCCCCCCCCAACTCCGCAGGGAGAGTAGCAAACCCCGCGTGCCCGAGGGGCTTCTCCAGAGCTGAGTGGGTGGATCCAGGTCCTGCTGCAGGGTCTGGTGGTGGGGTGGGAGTGGGGGTGCAGACTGTGTGGCCTGAGGACTGGCCGGTCTCCCCAAAGAGGACTCTGGTATGTCCCTATGAACTAAGGAGGGTGTCCTTCAGGAAGTGCAAGATCTTTACAGGGAGGACGTGGAGGAGAGCCAGCAGTCCTGGAAGGCTTCCCGGGAGAGGGGGCGACTTTGGAGCAAGTGCTGAGGGTAGTGAGAGATGGGAAGGGGTGGGGGGCGTTGCGCTTTTCCCCAGTCTCCAGTGCTGTGCGCTGCCATCTGGAGAGGGAGGTCGCCAACTCAGAGGAGGGCTGCCTGACTGGGCTTGTGCCCCGTGCCACCTCTGACGGACTGGGGCTCCCTGTACCCCAGAATCTTCCTGGCGCGGGAGTCGTACTGGGTTACAGGCAGGTCTCGGGGAGGCCCGGGGCTGGCCGAGGCTGCCGGGGTGGGCCATTATCCTCTGCCCATCTCGGGGGGCGTTTGCTGGCTCAGGACCCGCCCCGGGCTCCCACCTCCAGCCTGTGCCCTGCCCAGGGCAGGGGAGCCCAGGAAAGGGCCTGGCTGTGCCAGGAGGTTGTATGTGGCCACCCCAGCCCAGGGCCTCTCAGAGCCTCAGACAGCCACCACGGGGGCTGTGGGGTCAGCGGGCCCCATGCAGCCTCTGCTGGTCACGCAGAGGAGTGACGGGGGGTGGGCAGCAGAGTCCCGCCCCAGCCCAGCCCAGCCAGTCCAGCCCGCACCCACGTGGCTGGCCTGTGGCCCTGCCGTGTTCTCAGGCCCAGCTCTCTGCCCCGCTGCCCACCGCAGGTGCCCGTGGCTGACGCGAGCCGTGTCCCCAGCCGTGCCCGTCTACAATGGCATCATCTTCCTCTTCGTCCTGGCCAACTTCAGCATGGCCACCTTCATGGACCCCGGCGTCTTCCCCCGAGGTAGGGCTGGGCGGCTCCCCGCTCATTTTCAGGGGAGCCCAGGGCTTCCCGGTGGGTGGGCCCGGCGGAGACGGACAGCGCGTCTTCTGCCAGGAAAGTCACCTTCCCGCCGCCCCGCCCCCGCAGCGGACGAGGACGAGGACAAGGAGGACGACTTCCGGGCCCCGCTGTACAAGAACGTGGACGTGCGGGGGATCCAGGTCCGCCTCAAGTGGTGTGCCACCTGTCACTTCTACCGCCCGCCGCGCTGCTCCCACCGCAGCGTCTGCGACAACTGCGTGGAGGTGACCCGCGCAGCCCCCGGGCCGGGTGCCCTGACGCGCTGCTCCCGCCAGGACTTTGACCACCACTGCCCCTGGGTCAACAACTGCATCGGGCGCCGCAACTACCGCTACTTCTTCCTGTTCCTGCTGTCGCTCAGCGCGCACATGGTGGGCGTCGTGGCCTTCGGCCTGGTCTACGTGCTGAACCACGCCGAGGGGCTGGGCGCCGCCCACACCACCATCACGTATCCTTGGGCCGCGGCACCCCTTGGCAAAGGCAGCGTGGGCCGGGATGTGTCTCGCAGGGGAAACCGAGGCCCCCGAGGGGTGGGTCAGATGCTCGGGGAGCCCCAGCGGGTGGACTGCCATCGCTGGGTGGGCAGGGGGTGCGTTTGTCCACAGGCACCGTCACGGGGCCCACTGTGTCCTCGCCCGCGGCCATTGGCCTTAACGGGCCAGCATGGCTGTCATGTGCGTGGCCGGCCTCTTCTTCATCCCGGTCATCGGCCTCACCGGCTTCCACGTGGTGCTGGTCACTAGGGGGCGCACCACCAACGAGCAGGTGCAGACTCCACGGGGTGGGCCGCTCGGGGACAGAGAGGGGGACGGGGCTGCAGAACCTTGCCCGAGGTGGCCTGTGCAGGGTGGCGGGAGGACACACTAGCCCCGAGACCTCCTGGGGGACCCCTGTTCCAGTCCCGGCGCACCCTCGGCGCACCCTCTGTCCGAGGACCACAGTGGCCATGACTCCGGCCTAGAGATTCCACAGCTTCCCGCAGGACTGTCCGCGCGACCTGGGTGACAGTCCCTGCCCGCTCCCCTGCCCAGCCCAGCCAGGACAGGGGTGGTCAGGCTGGCTGAGGGTCCTGTGTCCACAGGTGACGGGGAAGTTCCGCGGGGGCGTGAACCCGTTCACCCGAGGCTGCTATGGGAACGTGGAGCATGTGCTATGCAGCCCCCTGGCACCCCGGTGAGGCCCGGCGGGCAGGGGCGGGTGCGGGTGTGGACCCGGTGAGGCCCGGCGGGCAGGGTCGCGGGTGCGGGTGTGGACCCCGTGAGGCCGGCGGGCAGGGTCGCGGGTGCGGGTGTGGACCCCCG